GGCCACTTTCATGGCTCCCCTACAGCCTGAGGTGGCCGCCGCCGCCGTAGTGCTGCCGGAGCGGCTGCAGCGTCGGGAAGCGGAGCGGCAGCAGGGCGTGGAGCGGCAGCGGCAGAAGAAGGAGGCGCAGGTGGTGAAGGAGGAGCAGAGCGAGTTCTTCTTGGCCGCCTTCGCCCGGGAGCGGGAGGCCGTGGAGGAGCTGCTGGCGGCGGGGCGGCTGGAGGAGGCGGCCGCCCGCCTGCAAGGGCTGCAGAAGCTGCTGACCGAGAGCGTGCGGTTCCCGACCCCCAAAGAAAGACGCGGCTCCGGGCGGCGCCCCGCGCCCCGCCGAGCCCCCCCCGCCCGAGCCCGCCGCCCCGGCCCCCGGCCGCCGCCCCGCCGAAGGGGAGGAGGTGGGCCCGCCGCTGTGCGGGTTCGGCGGCGCCGAGGGCGAGGAGCTGGAGCTGGGCCCCGCCGAGCTGCTGCAGCGCGACGTGGTGCTCTCCGAGCTGCGGGGCTGCCGGGTGCGGCTCCGCGGCAACGCCAACACGCTGCGGGTGCGGGACTGCCGGGGCTGCACCGTGCTCTGCGGGCCCGTGTCCACCTCCGTGCTGGTGGACGGCTGCAGCGATTGCCTCCTGGTGCTGGCCTGCCAGCAGCTCCGCACCCATCGCACCCGCGACAGCCGGTTCTACGTGCAGGTGACCAGCCGGGCCGTCATCGAGGATTGCACGAAGGTCTCCTTCGCCCCCTACACCTGGAGCTACCCGGGCATCGAGAGAGATTTCGAGTCTTCTGGACTGGACAGAAACAGAAACAACTGGAACCTGGTGGATGACTTTGACTGGCTGGCGACTGACAAGCCTTCGCCCAACTGGAGCCTGATCCCCGAGCAGGAAAGAATCAGCAGCTGGGACTGACTGCAGAGGCAGCTCCGTGCTGAGCAAGAAGCCCTGGTGTAAACCCCTTAATTCATAAACCGTGGGACTTCATTCCCCATATGCCATTAAATGATTCCATTGGTATTTAAGTTGTGAATTATATTGTACGACTGGATTTTTGTAATAATTGAAGAATACCAGTCAAATATAGTTTACTCTTCTTACACAAGTTGCTGCTATAACCTCTGTGTATCACTGTGGAATTTGCCAGCTACTGCAGCACCTCACTGCTGAGTTTTTCCAATTAAGGTGGGGCAAGGGGCACCAATACACAAACAACAGTGAGCTTCTGTTAGAGCTGCTGTTCTGCATTCACTCACCCGGGCAAAATCTGAATCAGCTGCAAGTCATACAAGCTGTACTGGAATGGAAAGATCAAATACTAAAATTTTCATATTTTTATGGTTCTCAAATTGCAGATCACAGTACACTATATTTTATGGGGAGTACGGGAGAGGGTTTTAGTGAGGTAACGGGGACAAAATGTTAATTTAAAGGAGGAGTTTGTAACTGAACAGCGTAGCAGGCTGAGATGAGTCCTAGGCTATGATGTAATTATGAGCCAGGTTCTGTAGATGTGGGTGAAATCTCTAAGTTGTCTTTATTTAGGCTGTTCTTTCAAGTGAGATAAATCGGAAAAAAAATAGTCTCCTAATGAACATTTAATACTGTCCTAATATATTACTGTTTGAAATTAACAAACCTATATAAATATTAAACCTTTACAGTCTGAAAAGATGCGAAATGATGCTCCTTCTGTAAACAGTTTTAACCCAAGATGGATAAAATGAGTGCGCTTCTGGGGCAATGCAGTAAGTGCCAATTAACATTAGAGAAGCTGGGCAAACTGCTCTACTGCAGTCTGAGACTTCAGGGGAGAGATGATCAGGTATTTCCTACTAGTTGTTGCATCCATCTACCAGACTATAGGTTTTGCGGTGCTTCAATCTTTAATTTATAGCACCCTGGTACTGCATAAGTGCAGTGTTGACAGAGGGGGTCAGTAAAATGGGGAGTTAAGGTGCTATATTCCAGTTCCAGAATTCTATGTTACCTTGGATAAAGTGCACAGTAACTTAAGTCTCATTTTTTCACTCCTTCTAAATAAACAAAAAGCAGTGTTATAGGATACGGTGCTCTGTTAGTGGTGAAGTGACCACTATCCATACATAAAGTCTATATAGTAGTTCTAGGTTTCCAAATGCACTCGTCATATTTTGTAAGAAATAGTTTATCTTGCCTAAGATTCAGCTTACAGTTGTATTTTAAAAGCTGCAAAATATTTATGCTGCCCTGCCATCATGTATGTGCCTCTAACAGAAAATTAATACTAACTGAACCATCAAAAACTGCATAATTGCAATGAGAAGTACTTGAAACTTAAGAAAAAGAAACTTAAGAGAAACTTTTCGTCTTAAGTTGTTTTCAGCATATTTAATTTAAAAGGGGGGAAGGGATTTTTTTGTATATTCACTTTATATATTCTTTGTTTACTTGAGTTAATGCATACTTTTGACTGAATTGGATTTTGCATTTCAAATATGTTTTGAATTTTCAGTTGTCCCTTTATTAATTATCCTTCTTTGCACTGACAGCATCATAAAATGATTTAAAGAAAACACTTAGTCTTGTTTTAATGTACATATTTTTTAATATCTGCTATTAAAGGGGTGTGATCAGGTGAGGTTCTCAACCTCAACACATCCATCTTAGTACAAAACCTGATTTTGCAGTTAATCTTTCATTCCCCACATACCCTGGTGATGATGTATCAGTCTCCTTAGCGTCCTCTAGTCCTGGCACTGCAAATTGTTCAGCCTGTAAGAACTACAGAAATTAGTTCTGCTGGCCAAGAGCCAGAAACATTTACTTACTGCGTTGATGGACGTTGCCAAACCTCGAAATGGAGAGGCTGTTGCTGGGCTGTAGCAGGGGTCAGAGGTGTGCGCTTCTCAATGCGCTTCCAACTGGCATCTGGGTGCCTTCCCGTGTCACCTGTTGGTCCGTAGCGTGCAGTATTGCCTCAATAAACAGCTTGAGTCAAAACAAGGAAATTTAGACTTCAATTTCAGGCTGAAAAATGCTTCCTCCATGACATTTTTCAGAGGTCAGTTATTGACATCCCAATTCCTAATGTTTTCTCTCCTCCCAAGTACTTAAACTTTTGTTAAACCACAATTACTATTAGGTAATACTTTTCAGGAACGTGACTGCAGAGGAGGCTGCTGAAGATGTTCCAGATGATTACTTTCCCTTAAAGATTTATCATTACCTTTGTAATACAAAACAGAAAACTGGATCTTGATCTCATGCATGACATGAAACAACAAAATTCAAGAACAGCAAGTCTGAAAAAGTGGTCCGGTAAATACTTTTATGAGATTTATAGCTCTAAATAAGTACCTTTATGTATATATACACACACAGTTGCAGATGTTTCCATGCACTTATTATTTAAAATGTTAATTTACTAATGTAGAATGATACTAGGAGAAATTCAAAGCTTCTGAAACAGAGGTATGTTACGTTAATAGTAATGTAGTACATGAACACAAGCTTCCTGCTAGAAATTTGCTGGCACATTCGTAGGCTCTATCAGTATAGAAATTCCAACTTAGGTCTGGAAGAAAGAGAAACACCTAAGCATTTCTATCTAATTAATTATTTAAAAAACACGTTACAATATTTTTTAATTAAAAATATATATGGAAAAAGAAGTCACAGTTAGTATAAGCGCTAGCAGGCTGTGCCCCCCAGAACACTTGATCCTAACAGCACCAGTGCAGACAATGCCAGGTGTTAACTCTCCTGTGCCATAACCTTCTGCCAGCCCTGGCAGGGAGGGAAAAAGTAAAATGCCATGTGAGTGAGAGAATATTAGCTGATATCCCAGCAGTACAAACAGGCATTTTCCAGTCAAATCTAGCGGAAAGCGGCAACTCCAACGTGTTGAGAATTACGTATCTACTCATTACATTTTTACAAAAGTAAAGTATTTAAAAGCATGGTAGGAGTAAGCATATATATATATATAAATGTTTTATAGGTTACTGAGATGTTTCTAATCTGCATTTAAAATTTCTCAGTTACTTCTTAAACTATTTTCTTCACATCTATTTTCATAGATGGAAAAAAATTCTTTTTATGTTGACACATACTCAAACTAATGTTTTAGAAATAAGACATTGGGGATAATTTGGCAGGTCCAGACTATAGAGTTGTCTAGATTATTTCGTTGGAACTACTTACAGAGTAGATGCTAAGCACAGGAAGACTAGAAGTCTAGTCCACAGTAGTTGTAGCTTCATCGTATTGGTTTACCTTTTGCCTCAACCCACAAGGCATCAGAAAAATTGCTTCCTGTCTGCTGGTGAGCCTTAAGCTGTTTGTTAACATATATTAAGTATGGAAGCAATTAAATAGTTTTGCTGAGAGCGTCTAGTTTCAACAGGAGAGGCATTCTGTGCTCTCTTGTCTCTACACGATTCGATGATGGAGGATCTTGTACATCCCACCCAAGCAAACCTCCTCCCAGGAGAGTCAGGAGCGTGTCGTGACGTGCCCTGAGCAGCCAGTGGCAAGTGGCCGGGCTCCTGAATTCCCCTTTTGAAACTTGCGACTAAGAAATATTCAGAGGGAAGGTTGGGCAGAGTTTGTGCAGCAGGCGGCCTGAGGAGACGTGCCGGGCTGTCTCCAAAGTTCTCCTGGGTCAAGGAGACTCGCAATGCCAGCCTGGGCAGAGCCGCTTTGTCTCTCCGCTAATCGCAGCTCGGGGAAAGGAGGGCGGCTCACGCTCGGTGTCTTCCCATAAGCAATGCTGACACGAAGAAAATGCCCGGCAGCCTCTTCTAGGCCAGGAGCCAGGGCTGCCGTGTGTCTAACCTGCTCGGGAGAGCTTGCAAAAATCCCCTTCCCTGGAGAATCAGCGGGAAAGAGGCAGCTCTTTGGGGAGGCTCACAGCAGGGAGAACCAGGCTTGTGGTCCTTCTACAGGGAGAGCAGCAGCAGTAGAACTGCTGTGAAAAATAGCTGGTTTCAGGCTTACCTTGCATGGTAGCAAGGTGGAGGACTGAAAACGTGATGCAAGGGAGAAGACAGTTCAAGGAGCCCACCGAAGGAGCATGTTAGTAATTCCCCAACCAGTAATTCCCCAACCAGTTGCCAATGGGGAGTGCCTGGGGCGCTGACAGTGCACCCTCCCTCGCACCAGGGCTGGCCAGGGGATGAAGCAGTAGCACCACCAGCGTGGCTTTGCCTCCATCCACAGCGGTCTGTCAGCGTGACCCGTGTGGTGGCCAGATTCACATAACCTGTGTAGTGCAAGACCGAAGCAAAGTCTCCTCAAGAGCTTTGGCTCTGCTTTGCATTTCATCGCCACCAGAATAACCGAGGTTAACTTCTTTAAGAGCACATAAAGGAATTAATTTTGCTAGGCATCAGAAGGGGCTGAAAAACAAAACACCTGCCGAGGCATGGTTATGAACACCTTATGAGGGAAACAGAAACATCAGCACCATAAAGTAGGTGCAAGTTGGCCCTGAACAGAGGGCTCTCTGTCAGAAAGGTAGAAAGTTTCTAAACAGTATGGGGCATGGAGGTGTGGAACCATTTTCCACAGGGAGTCGCAAGAGCTTGTTCTTCATTTAAACATTTTTGAATGACAGGCTGATCGGACAGCCCTCCTCTGATCCGACAGCCTTACCAAAATCCTTAAAGCCAGTGCAACTTCTTTCATTCACCACAGCCCTGTAACTCAACCTTTTAAAGCTCATAGGTGTCTGTGAATGAAATAAAATAGTTCTATGTAAAAATAGACAGCTGTGAATCCACAGAAGAGAACTGAGACAGTTCTTCAGCTCCACACTGTGAGCGTTAGCATTTGTTGAGGCTGTGAGAGGTAGCATGGACTAAAGCTTGCCTCCAGAGAAGCAGCTAAGAGCTTTGCTGCTGCTTCCAGTGAGCATCACACCTGGAGGACCATCCTGAGAGAGGACAACCCCTTTGGTTCCCACTGGAGTCCAGACATTTCCCTGTGTCTGCACCTGCTTCTCTGAATAGCAGGAACAAAAATGGAGTTATTTGCATTCTCTCTTTATCCAGCCCTCTTTCCTTTAAACAGATTCTGGTGTGGGCTCTAAGCAAAATATTTGTGTGAAATAAGCGCATAAGACAATTTCTTACATACTTTCATGCTTTATATTTTTGAGGGCTTGAATTCTTTTTTTTTTAATATATATTAGGTGGTTGGTGGGGTTTTTTTTTAAAAAAAAAACCTTCATCCTATTTAGGCAATAGCTATACGTAGACAAGGATCACGTCTCAGTGCTTTTACCTGGAATTGCTCGAGGTGTTACAAAATACTTAGGAATTCTTGAATGGAAGGCGATTTTGTGAATATATACAATCCTCCTCCCCACCCCTTCCATATACCATATTCCATATACCTCCTACTTCTGTCTTTCCAAGTAGATCTCTCCCAGCACATGAGTGGGATCTGAGGGCGGACTTGTTGAATTTCAAAACTGTGTGCAGGCAAGTACATTTCTTCACCTCCTTTAAGTATCACCTTTTTTCTGCTCAGCTTTGCTCCCTTACCTCCTGCTTTCCATCAGGCTCTCCCCACTTCTAGAGACTGTGGCCTTTTTTCTGTACAGCCTTCTTATTGCAGCCATCGCATCTGCACAAGAGACCTCACATCCTGTACTGCCCTAAATAGCCAATTTCATCACATGCAAGGAAAGATACAAACAGCAAGGAAAAAAAAAACAAACCACAAACCCACAAAAAAATCCCCTGTTGAACTTGTGGAATTTCAGCATTTCCATTCACACCATGATCTAATTTATCTGACTTACTTGTGATTCCATCTGTTGTGCTGAGATGTTTTCCAGCAGTAATGGCTGCTGTGAGCCTTTTGTAAGCTTCTTTCAATTCCCAACGTATTTCTTTCCTGTTTCTGCAAGTACAAGCATGGATTTATAACTCTCATTCTTTTCAGCAGTGAACACTACACTCTAGGCATCACAGTAATACAAGTAAATACTCATAAAGAGCATCTCGGGGATCAAAATAAAACTGTTTTCTGAACATGTTTTTCGCACTGTGGAGAAGATGGCTGAAATGCTGGGAACTACCCAGAAGAAAAAACACACTAAAACTCCCACAGTGTGCCCTGGTGTAGTTTAGGAGCCACGGGGTCAGATCACCCTTCCCAGGGTATCAACAACCAAAGGAACGAGTTTAGCAATTTGCCTCTGTTTGTAGGCTCAGGACCTGAAGCCACTTCACATGCCACAAAAATAGTAGCCTAACAAGTTACTTATGTACATGGGAGGGGAAAAAAAAATATATGTCATAAATCAGACCTGTTAATCATACGATTTGGTACAGCCATTTTATCATGTTGTTCCTCAGGAGTGTCCCAGTACACACACACACATATGTAAGCCAAACCATACACAGTGCATAAAAACCCCTCTTACCTCTACAAAATTACTTCCTATCATAAGTAAAACCAGATATCTTCATCACAGAATCACAGAGTGGTAAGGGTTGAAAGGGACCTTTGGAGATCATCTAATCCAATCCCCCTGCCAGAGCAGGTTCACCTAGAGCAGGTT